TTTTCCGTCCGCCTTCGGTAACTGTGGTTACCGAACAATTTACGCTTCATTAATTTCTATGGGAAGAGGACAAATTTTTACTATCGGTCGCTTGAAAGTTGATGACTGAGTTCGTACTGTAACAACTCGAGTATGACCATCAGGTCCTGGATGAGTTTGTATAATTCTGCCTAACGGCCATTTTGAAGGCGGATTCCTTTCATCGACAATCAAAACCAGAGCACCCTCCTTTAGCGAGGGAGCAACTCTATTCCACTTGTAAATGGAATGGTATCGTTGTAAATACTCTTTTGACCACTGAGACCAGAAGCCTTCTAGCATCTTCCTGATCAGTTGCCAACGACTAAGGTGAGACATTTTGACTGTCTCTAACGATGGTTCGGGTATGACTGTAGGCGCTGTTCCTATAAGGAAGTGGCCTGGAGTAAGAACTGTGAGATCATCAGGATCATCTGTTAAAGGGTAAAGGGGACGCGAATTAAGAACTGCTTCAATTTGTGTAAGAAAAGTAACCATTTCTTCATATGTTAAGAGTTGATCTCCAACAATTCTTTTTAAATGAGTTTTAACCGACTTTACGCCAGCTTCCCACTTTCCTCCAAAATGAGGAGCTGAAGGTGGGTGAAATTTCCACTGAGTGCCATCGTTGGCTAGAAGAATAGCTATTTGTTTGAGTTCCCTAGATGATTCAGAAAAGAGTTTCTTGAGCTCTTTATCAGCACCCACAAAGTTAGTACCACAATCACTAGTTAAAGTGGCACAGATTCCTCTTCGTGCTGTAAATCTTTTGTAAGCTGCAATGAATGCGTCAGACGTGTAATCTGTGACAAGTTCTAAATGTAGTGCTGATGTAGCAAAACAAACAAATAAGGCAACGTAAGCTTTGTAAGTACGCGCATTCTTGCCTTTCCATGTTTTAATGACAAAAGGGCCTGCATAATCAATTCCAGAATTAAGAAAAGCACGAGATGGTGTAACTCTATTGACTGGAAGTTGACCCATTAACTGCTGTGCTCTTTTTTGTCGAAACCTAGTACATATTACACATTTCTGAATAAAGGATTTTACTGTAGTACGACCTCTGATAATCCAATATTGTTGTCGTAAGAATGACAAAGTCAACTGAGTTCCTCCATGAAGGGTGCGCTTATGTGAATCATCAATCACTAAAGTGGTTAGAACAGAGTTCTTTGGGAGAATTAGAGGATGCTTAGAACCTTCACTTAGTTGAGAATGCTCCAATCGTCCTCCTACACGAATGCATCCTTGTTTATCAAGGTATGATGTTAAACAAAGAAGAGGATTTGATTTTGGGAGAGATTGTCCCTGGGATAGAATCTTAATCTCTTGAGAGAAGAAAGACTGTTGAATAGCTTTAACCCAGTACAATTTTTCGCGTTCTATGTCAGTAATACTTAGTGATTTTTCTTCACTGGAATTCCGACATTTTCTGAGCAATGAAACGAATTTTCTACATAATGCAGTTATTCTTAGTAATTTAGTGAGACTCGAGTACCTAAAAATCAGATCCCATAGTTCTGAGGATTTATCGATAATAACAGTGGAGATTTGTTTATTTCTCTCTTCAAGGTCATTATCGTTTAAAGATGCAGAGACCTTTGGCCATGTTGATTCGTGTTGAGAAAGCCAATGGGGTCCTGTCCACCATGTGGAACAGTTCAATAGTTGAGATGGAGTTATTCCCCTAGTCGCTAAGTCAGCTGGATTTTCGTTACCAGGAATTAATCCCCATGAGGCTTGTGGTAGTTGATCTTGTATTAAATAGACTCGGTTTTGAACAAATTCCTTCCATCTCGATGGAGGGTTAGTGATCCAGGTATAAGCCACAGAAGAATCGAGCCAACCAAAAACACGTATACCTTTTATCTCCAATACTTGCAAAACTTGTACCATTAATTTAACGAGTAATGCTGCTCCTGCTAATTCTAAACGAGGTATAGTTTGTTTCTTCAAGGGAGCTACTTTCGTTTTTGATGCCACTAAAGTGACGGTGACCTTTCCCTCCTTTGATGTAGATCGTATATAAACGACTGCAGCTATTGCGTTTTGTGATGCATCGCTACATCCGTGCATTTCTAGGGTATCTGACGATTGGAATCCTAACCATCTTGGGAAAGTAAAACTTGGCATATCTTTAAGTTGGCTAACAAAGGTAGTCCATTTATCAGAAAGAGGAGGAGGGAGTTGATCATCCCATTCAAGTTTATGTGACCATAATGTCTGAATAAATATCTTAGCTGAAATGGTAATAGGTGATAGAAATCCTAAAGGATCAAATAATTTGGCAATTGTAGATAGAATAGTTCTTTTAGAAATGACCTTAGGCTTAGATAAATTTAAAGTAAATTGAAAAACATCAGTGGATGGTTGCCAGCACAGTCCGAGGGCATGGATTAACGTGTTCTCTATTTGAATGGAAAGCGAATCAATTCGTTTACTAGGAGGAATAGCTTCAAGAACGTCTGGATTATTGCTGACCCATTTTTGTAAATTAAAACCGCCCGCCATGCAGAGCTGGTCAACCTGACTGACAACTGCTTTTGCTTCTTCGACTGTATCGGCACCTCCAAAGAAGTCGTCAACATATCTACCCTTTTTCATTGTAGGGAGGGCAAGAGGAAAACGGTTTCCTTCGTCAAAAATCAATTGATTGAATGTGCGTAATGCTAAGAATGGAGCGCATGCAAGTCCGTAAGTGACTGTGGTAAGAACGAAAATAATTATCTCATTCATTTTATTCATCCATAATATTCTTTGATAATCCCAATTATCCTGATGGACCATTATCTGTCTGTACATTTTCTCAATGTCTGAAAAAAAACATATCGAAACACCCTAAACCAAATGAGAACGTCAAATAAATTTAGCTGTAATTTCGCGCCTGCATGAAGCAATTGATTGAGGGAAACGCCTGACGTTGTTAGACTGGAGCCATTGAAAACTACTCGCAATTTTGTTGTAAGACTTTGTTCTCTCCACACTCCATGGTGTGGGAGATAATAAGATCGTTCAGGCTCAACTTGACAACCTGGAACCCTTTGCATATGACCCAGGTTCTCATATTCATTAATAAATTCAGTATAATATTTAGCGTAATCAGGTTGAGCATTAAATCTATTGAATAAACTTTTAACTAATTGTGCAGCTTTTGTTTTAGAATTTCCTAGTTTATCTGTTGATTCTTTAAAAGGAAGTTTGACAATGTATCTTCCATTTAAATCCCTCATATGTGTAGCTTTAAAATGGTTTTCACATTCTTGTTCGTCGGGAGATAAGACAGTAATATTTGATGTTGGAATTTCTTCCAATTCCCAGAATTTCCTTATTAAAGCGTACAGATCTTCATCGACAGTAACGTGATATCCATGGACTTTTGAAGTGGTATCTTTTGAATTTGTTGAGCCTGAAACGATCCATCCTAATCTAGTACATTGAGCAATAGGTGTATTAGAAGCTCCCTTTACTATGCCTTCTTCTAATATCTGTCCGTATATATCGGCTCCTAATATTAAATCGATTGATCCGGGTTTTGCAAATTCTGGATCTGCAAGTTTAAGTTCGCTTAAATGAGGCCATGATGTCTTATCAAGTTGAGTAGAGGGAATCGAAGAAGTAAGCTTTGGAAGAATATGAGCTGAGACTAAGTATTCAATATTAGAATCAAAATGTGGTTTAAGTGTGAAAGAAGTAAGGCCTCGAGTCTTGTTAGACTTTTGAGCGCCAATCCCTATTAATGACAATGATGAAGGACTTCGTGGAAGTTGAAGTCGTTGCACAACCCGTTCTGTTATTATAGAAATTTCCGAGCCTTGATCTATAAGAGCTCTAACCTTTGTAATTCGACCATTTTCTGATATAAGAACAACTTGCGCTGTAGCTAATAATACTTGAGATACTATCAATGGATTTTTTACAGAAGAGTGCAAAACCTTAGCTTCAGGTTTAGTAACGGTTGACGAAAGGTTTTCTTTTACTTCAGGAGACTTCTTATTTTCATTCGTTGAAACGTTTGCAGTGTGAATTGAAGTATGGTGTTTTTGCCCGCACTTCTTACATCTTTTAGTTGTTTTACAAAACGAAACTCGATGTAACCCGAGACAATTGTAACACATTTTGTGCTTGACGATGAGAGCTTTCTTCTGAGAAACAGTTTTATTACTATATTGAGGACAGTTAGGAGTAAAGTGCTTCTCTGAGCATATCACACAACAAGAATTGTTGTTGGATGCTAAATCTTTAGATTTTCCTTGGAAATGTACTTTAGCCGGTTGTTGTCGTGTTTGCTGAATAAATTTTCCATGATGAGATTTTTCATAAGCCTGAAGAGCTAATATACGAGAAAACAGAAACTCACTAAACTGAGCCCATGAGGGCGGATCTTTAGCAGATCCTAATTTGTTTTGCCATGCTTTTAATGACTCAGCATCTAATCGCTGAGTTGCTGTGTAAACCAACACGTCATCCCATTGATCAACTGGTCGACCAAGACTTTGCAAAGTTCTATAAGCTTGACCTATCTTAGAGTAGAGCTGCTCAAGTTCAGCCGCTGATTCTTTAGTTATTCGTTTAAGCGTAAACAACGATTGTAATTCTGAATGAACAAGTACTCGTTTATTCTCATAGAAAGAGACTAAGACATCCCATGTCTTTTGAAAGTTGTCAGCTATAAGAACAGTATCTTTAATTAACAGGGCGGCAGATCCAACTAAATTTGTTTTTAAATATTGTAGTTTTTCAACCGCGGAGACACTCGGGTTGTTAATCACAATGGAAGTAAACAAATCTTTAAATGACAGCCATTCTGATGGAGTTCCGTTAAAAGTTGGAATAGTAATTCTTGGAAGCCTCGTGTGTTGTACAAAAGCAGTTGAACTCAATGGCTGAGAAAGAGATTGAGTTGACACAGAGGCCGTAGTTGACAACTGATCTGACTCCAACATAGAAGTTATCCTTTCAAGCGACTCGAGATAGCATACATGAGTGTCAGAAAATAAATTTTCAACAAAATAAGCGTGATTGTAAATTGTAAGTTTATCCTCGGTACTAAGCTTAGTAATTGACAATTTAATTGCCTCATGATTCAAGGAGAATTTCTCCCATGTTTCTTTTAACGAGGAGAGGCAAGCATTGATTCTTTGATTTGAATTATTAATCAAACTGTTTTCAACTAAATTGTCATAGGATTTAACTATGACATCAATTAACGGAAATTGTTGTTGTACTCGCTTTTCTATATGTTCAACCCTCATTGTAACAATATACGTTGTTAAATGTAATTAATAAACAATTGTAATCGCATTGACACCGTTCAGTGGTATTCTGTTCTCATCAAGTATCGCTCTTTAACCATTGACTGTATTATTTTTTTTTTAAATTGATTTCACTAGCTCATTAACTATCTAGCTGGTTTGTAAATTTAATCTTAATATCTTTTATCAGATATCATTAGTCATCAATAATTTATCATTTAGAATTCATCCGGCTCGAAGGACCAAAATGTTTAGTACTAACTCTCTAAGTAATTTACATACAATTATTTAGAATTAATCCAGCTAGAAGAACAATGAAAGAAATTTTAATTAAACATAAATTGAGTGAATGCGAAAAGCAGGCAAATAATATTGTTTTCAGTTAATACTAAGATAACTTAAATTGATTTAACAGTTAACTTATTTATGTATTAAGGATGATAGAATCTTTCTATGAAGTTTAAGAATTATAAAGATC